CCTTGCTATGATTTTAAAGTTTCAGAGGAGCTCTACAGAACTGCTGGGAGGTCAGGGATGAAAAAGATGCAGGGCCTCACTGACAGCTCTTTCCTTCTCCTCACTGCTCTGGGGAAGGGGCTGGCTGATTTCCATGTTACTGGACAATGAATGCAGAACTTTTCAGCTGAAGACATCATCCTACCCTCGACCAAGATTAACTCATCAAGAGCTTCCTACCACGGTGGTGTTAATACATTGGCCATGGTATTCCTCAGTAGGGGTGTCTAGACATGCGTTATTGAGGCTGGTGTTTAGCTAAAGACACAGGAAAGAAGGCTTCACCTTCCTTCTCATCTTCACAACTTGAAGGCATTCACTAAAAGACATCCCTGCACTTCCATGGTAGGGACCAGCCTTCAGCTGTATGCCTTCATCTATTATGGGAGGCAGCCTCTTAACTTCCCCAAAAGATAGTGCCAGTGTGGGGACCCATAAAGATTCCTCAGGTACCAAGGAAAGCTGAGAGTCAGGGTACAGCCAGCCCATCGCCTGAGGGCCCTGGGAAACATCAGAGTCACTATCTGTTCCCTGTTCTTCAATCCGTCCAGATTTTCCAAGATTCTTGAAGAGCCAAGCTCGGGCTATGACCCAGTACTGGAAGACAAAAGGGAATGAAGTTTGCTAAGTTTTCTTTTACCAGGACAAACCAATTTTCATATTACGATCTTGCACCATTTACACTCTTCCCATTTGCTAGACTAAGATGTGTAATTGGGTGAATCTTAAAACTGTTCTAAGTGGTTTCCACATCTTTGGAAGTGACGATCTCCCTAGCACTGGGCAAGATGCTGGCTTTATGCAGCTTTTAGGTTTGCCACTATTTCCTTTACATGAGGGTCACAGTTAACCTACAGTTAGCTGCAGTTGGCCAGAAATGGGTTCTTTCCAGGGTTCTTCAGTTCTTCAGGCACTGAATTAACCAGTTACCCATCATCTTCACTTCCTTCATTAAATCATCACTGCCTACCTCAAAGGACTCCTTTAGAGACACTCATTTGCTTTCTTCCAAAATTCGGGCATTCTTTGGTTCCACTGTTTTCTGCTGCAGCTGAGCCATGTACTGAGATACCCAAATCAACTCCAGCATCTGATAAAACTCGAGTTCTCCTGAAATACTACCTAAGTGAAAAATCTGAGTACAAAAAGTAACCTCCTACTTGCTAATGTCTACACAGACAAAAATAAAGATTTCAGTGTAAATTTTACTATTTTATTTGTGAAAAAACTACAAGCAGAATTCATAAATAGACATTTCTATTTAAAGCAGGAAAACGATAAAGTGGCTTCTAATAACATAGTCGTGCACATGCCAGTAACAGGAATATATTAACATCTTTTATTTGCTAGACAAAGAGAAGTGTCCAATATAAATTTCCCCCAAACATTTAAGACCTGTGAATTTCTGACCAGTTCACAAAACCACCGACACTTTAGCATGAAGAAAAAAACAAATCTAACAGACTGTCAGCTCTAAAGACATTACAGAGCAGAACTTCCAAAAGCGTTATACAAGCTGTCTTTCTGAGCAAATGAAAAATATAGCTCGTATAATACATTAACAAAAATTCACAAGATAAGATTATGTTTTGACATACTTAACAAGCATTCTCTATTTGTCTCCAACAAACAAAGCTAAGGAAATAATGTAACCATCTTTACACAGTAAATTAAGGTTACAAGTCATACACAAGAACAGAACTGCTTGCGCATTAAAAACTGTTCAGCTCCATTGTCTTACTCTAAATGTCGGCTCTTAAACCATTTTCGGTTACATACAAGCAAAGGTTATTATATATCAGCAATTAATAAATTTTCAATAATTTAAGATATGGTAGCTTAAAAAAGTAGACTGAGAATGGTCTTGATAAGGCAGGTGAAACATCTTAGTGGAACTAAACTCACAGAAGCTTCTGCTAATGTTTTAAATGTCCAGATTAAAACTGAAAGATTTTGATTGAAAATATTTTGCGGTTATCAGGATGTCTTTACCTTTCCCCCCCCCCCTTTTTTTGAACTGCATGACTCAAGCAGAGCAGGTTGGGTAAGCTCTGTGTGTGCGTGCACACACACAAGTGTGAAAGATCGTGTGGTATTAAAACAAATGGAAACTTGCAAGCATTAACACTGTGCTTTTGTTTTGTTTTTATAACCTGCTTACTGTGCCGTTGAATACCAAGTATTTCTGGTCCTCTTTCAATATATATCTTTCATCACCTACACTAGTGTTTTTACACGCTGCCTACTAATTGTAGGGTAAACTGCAAAAGCAGGAAGTTACAGGAATTCCATTTCCAGAATACATGCCTGAGGGATGTCATCCATTTCGGAAATCAAAAGTCTAAAGTACCTATCGCTTCACTATCATAACACAATACACAACAGCAGCCAAAGGCCGGGCCCAAAAACATCTGATTGCTGAGAGCACTCTCACCGTGAGCTGCAGTTCCTACCAAACTGGCAATGTCATCATCTCACCAGTTCTAAAGCGATCCTCCCTTCCTTCACCCCTCCCTATTTTTTATTCTTAAATTTATCACGGAGGCAGAACTGAAAAACCAAGACATTGGCAATGAATTAGCAGCCTCTGAGTAGCTGGTTAATCAGCTTTTTCCACTAGTCTAGGGGTCCAATCACTTTACATGAAACTAATTTTGCAAAAGTACACAGTGTTTCTGAACAAAGTGCATACCAACACTTACTGGTTCCAAAAGCAGTGCAACCCATATGAGTTTGGTGGCATTTAAATTTTTTTAAAAAGTTAATTAAAAAACTTAGCAATTCCTTACATCTCTGGAAAATAAATATGGCTGACTAATTTACCCTCCCTGAGACCCTTAATAAAAGGAATATTAAAACTTTAGAAGGAATGTCTTTGCAATACCCCACTAATATTAAAATGTGGATTTAAAATTCATAGTCAAATCACTATGTATTATATATTCTGATGCTTATAGAAAGCATCTGATTTCCTTTGGTTCATTAATAAATACTTTAAAAATGTATTTAAAAAGGTAAGTATAGCTTGCATCCCAGATACAAGCACTATTTTTTAAAAAGAGGGGAAACATTGTCCATGCATTTGAGAAGAGGACCATAGCAACAAATGGCACTGCTTTATCATCTATACCTTTGAGAACAGAATTTAAATGATGGTACATCAGTGACTACAGAATAGTTTTAATGTAAATGTGAAAGGAGCCTTTCCTGTTGGCTACTCAAATCAAGCTGTTAATTTTTCTCTTTATTCGTTGCCTCCATACACAGAAGTTACTTCTATTCTTATGCAAAACCAGGTTTTTCACACCAAAATGCAGCGTTTCATCACTATCTGCTGCCCTCCCAGGTCGAATAAAGGAAGGTGACATCAAGTTCCCATGCTTGAAATGACTCTCAAGTCTACGAACTCTGCGAATATGAATGTTAAGAGTCAGACAGAAGAGAGATCCTAAATCCAAACAAAGCAAAACAGAACATTTTTATAAAATGAGGAGGGGTGGATTCATATTAGTGGTCTTTTACACATTTTTTATTTTTGCAAGGCATTAAAAAAAAAAGTGAGAAGAATCATTTTTAAAAAGAGTTTACTCAAGCTGTCTTTGTGTTGAGGAAGTAAAAGCTCATAGGCTCACAGGAAGTAGGAGCTTTCCCTGCAACTCTAGCTGCCCGCCCTTCAACCATTTCTTCACCACTTGCATTCCTTCCCACAGCAGGGAGCTGAGACACATCATGGAACTGAAAAGCTCCATGTCGGGACTGGATGTGCTGGTTGATAACCTCTGTTCAGTCAAACAACAAGACTAGACTTTAAGAAAGGAAAAGAATTCTCACTGAATGGTAAGGGAAACAAGGGGTTGTAAAGCAAACAAAGTTCAATTAAACAAAACACCGTGTGTGAAGTGGAAACAGGGATTTGCTTCTTGTATGGACCAAAAAGTACAGGTTAGACAGTCTGAATGCTAAAACTAAGAGACAGTTTATCAATTTACCTCAGACATGAGTAGAGGTCTGGAAAATGGATGGAATTCGAGTTACAGAATACCATATTTTGATGAGTGCCTATGTAAGAAGAGCAAAGTGAACATGTAACCGTAATTTACACGAATACTTGGCATTCTGGAGCTAGTTTAGTTACTTTCGAATGATCAAAGCCCTCCCAACTAAACCACTTGTGATTTGTCAGTCATTCCACCACAAATGCAGGCTATCTGGAGCAGTCTTTAAATTTGAGATCACATTGTTTAAAAAATATATATTTTCGTATCATCCAGTACTTTTTAGACAGATGAGAGAGTCAAGTTCCCACGTGGGTTGGAACATACTTCATGTAAGACTGATTTTAATTTAATTTCAGCACTTTCATAGAAGGGACTGTCCCAGATCTGTAACTGTTCAAAGTTGTATTCACTTCACAGTGTATCAAGCACCAGCGTTGCCATGGATTGGTTTCAAATAACCTTTTATATATAATTTTATATTTATATATATAGTTATATCAAAACTGATAGTACATAGTATAACTGGAAGAAAGAACTAAACTTAAAAGGATATGCTGAAAGGATGGAGTCTGTGAACACAATAAATAAAAAGTTCCCTCCCCCTCCCACGCTGCCCTCCCCCAACAAAACAAAAACAAAAAACCAGTTGTAATGTACATGGAAAATTGTGCACAGCAGATTTTTTTTTTTTATAAAAAGTAGATTCAGGAGCACATCCAATTATAAATGATTGTTAGGAAAATCATATAAAACAATGGAATACATAAAAGTGTCAAGAGTAAATCGTCAGGGTGCGAAATCCCTTGGTGGCCAGATGCCCATGGCAAGCAGAAATTATCCTGGCAGCATCACTAAGAGGTCGATGTCCACAGAAGATTTTCCAAGGGGTGCAAGCGGCATGGGCAGGTGGAGGATGTGAATTTCATACCCTGATTCATAGTTTTCACAATTCCATGTGCAACTTCAGAAAGATTCGTCATTTACTGCTGACATGTCGCCCTTCGGCGTGGAGGAGCGGGAGGAGCCCTTGTCTGTGCTCTCCGACCCCGAGCTGCTCTGGTTCTGCTGTTCGGACCCCGCACTGGAGGTCACTGTGGACGAGGATGTGGAGGAGGAGCGAGTCTTTTCCTTAAAGTCTGTGATAATGACGGTGACGTTGCCCACAGTCACTGCCAGCTGCTGTGCGGTGCTCCGGTCCACGTTCTTCAGCCGGGGCCTGAAAGCAACACCAAGGGGAAGAGCCTGTCAAATCAGGTCTGCGTGCAAAGGACGTCAGTTCCAATGTCACACACACACACTTCATGACACTGTGGCCAATGACTCTAAACCGCCAGCACGGACACCAATGCTTACTCCCAAATCTGCTGAAAAGCTCAGCAAGCATGGAGACCATGATCAGTTAGCAAAGCTTTGGACCACTGCGAAATTAAAATCAATTTATCTTTCTCCTGTTTTGGTGTCAGTGTTAAAATAGCTCATATATATGTGCATGTATTTTGAAAGTTAACAGTCCCACCCCAGCTCTTCATCCCACCCCTTAGCCTACAAACCCACAGGCACAAACCATCCCCGACTCTTGACTATGAGCAGCCAAATCTGGGCAGTGATGTATTTCAGTCTAGTTTCAGATACCTTGAGGTGTGATTCGTTTCACTGGTCTTTGTTGTAGCATTTGCAGACTGTATACTGTTCACTTCGCTAGGAGGATCTTTCAGAATATCAGACTTTGGTCTAAATGGGGAGATAGAAAAAGAGGGATTTAAAAGATATCTTTGATTTGCCTGCAAAATAACACAGCACTGTACTGGGTTACTCAAGACCTTACTTTGTTTTCTTGTTGGTGTTTTTCTTGGTAACACTAGGACTAATTTCTTTATCTTTCTCAGGCTTCTCTTTGTCTTGCTTTTCAACTTTCTCCTTCTTCTCCTTTTTAGGGGGTGGTGGAGTGGCATACTGTTGGGCCACTTGCTGTGCCACCAGCTGAGAATTGATCCGAGGTTTTCTACAACATTCAAGAAAAGAGGCCTCATTATTTGCTTTATAAATATTTCTTTGATTTTTAAAATTTTGGTCTCATAATGTTTAGGTATTTTATTACTGGTATCTGGCAACTCAAAACTAAATTATATGATGTTATTTCTACATTATTATTTCTAGGTAGTATGGTTAAGTCCATAAAACTTTTCCTCTTTCAAATCCACTCTGTACACCTTTAATGACATAGACACATGTGCTCAAACAAATACACACATCCCTGTGCAGTCAAGACTTTTAGCCAATAAAACATGATTGCTTCTAAGAGTGCTGAGAACACTACTTCTTTTGAGTTGTCAAGATTATACTGACTGACAGCTTTCAAATACTGCTGCTGCAGAGGGTTAATCTCATTTTATTAAATGGACACTGGTAATCCCTTGGAAAGAGAATGAAATTAGAAGTGTGACATTCACTCCTCAATCAAATCATTCCGACTTGGTCTGCTCCCCTGCAGTTCTGTGACTGGCACCCCCAACAACACATAGCAATAGAAGGTAACTGTGGTTCATATGAGCTCCCAAGGGGGTGAACACTGAAAATCACTAAAAAAAAAATCTTAGAAAAGGGATACATTCATTGTGCCATCAACCATTCTGTGTGTGCCAGTCTCCAACTGACACTGGCTTTTAGCACTATTGTTTACAAAGTCTAAATGGTGCCAAGTGTTTCTCACAACGCATGACCATTCAGACCCAAACGGCAAAGGGAGAAAGGAACGCTTAGCACACAGTATTAATTTCAAACACAGCAGCATCTAGACCGACATTTACAATATAATAAACTCTCCAAGTATAAGGTGTGACGGTGAAAGTCAGTCATGTCCGACTCTTTGTGACCCCAAGGACCCTAAAGCCCATGGAATTCTCCAGGCCAGAATACCGGAGTGGGTAGCCTTTCCCTTCTCCATGGGATCTCCCCAACCCAGGCCTCCCACTCTGCAGGCGGATTCTTTGTGCCAGCTGAGCCACGAGGGAGCGCAAGGTAGGACGCATGTACCTACATGAGGGTCACTAAAGAGGTGAGGCAACTGCCGGCCACCGTCTGACAACCCCCGCAGACCCCATGTCCCAGTCTGCTCGCCACGACGGAGGCACCGGCCGAAGAAAAGTAACTGGACAGATGAGGTCTGGTTCATCCATGAAAGAGCCAGTGGTAGAGGAACGCAAATGGAAGGAAAAAATAAAAAACAAACCTAGGAAAAACAAAAAATAATCAGGCCATTTTATTAAAAAAAAAAAAAAAAAAGGCAGCAACAGCTGCTAGAAGAGGACACACTGCCTGAAACCCCTCTTGGGAGAGGGTGTGACGTGGCTGAGAGGGGGGACACCGCCTCCTCCACAACTTCATCAGGCCGGCCTGCTTGGGGAAGCCCCTGGCTTTTGTCTGAGTGTCTCGGTGCTGGCTCTGCAGGAAACTGATGAACAAAGCATCAATCCCAGGGCACATCTCCTGTGTTCTCCAGCAAACACAGGCTGTGGTAGTGGACGGCACACAACGAAAACCCGTCACAGCTAAGAGTCACCGCAGGCTGGACCACAACCACACACAGCCTGCCTCACCTGCCACCGAGCAAAGGACTGAGTCAAACACAGATGTGCAGTGCCTCGGAGACAAAGCGAGGAGGTACTTGAGCTAAGGCCCTGCCCTCTCACGGGAAAGGTAACTTTCCTTCTTCAGAGGTTTGCTTCCGTGGTGGCTCAGACAGTGAAGAATCTGTCTGCAATGCAGGAGACCCAGGTTCGAGCCCTGGGTCAGGAAGATCATCTGGAGAAGGGGATGCATCCACTTCACTATTCTTGCCTGGGAAATTCCATGGACAGAGGAGCCTGGCGGGCTACTACAATCCGCAGGGTCACAAAGAGTCAGACGCTTACTTAACTTAAGGCAGCAGCAGTCTATTCTACTCCTTCAAAGAGGAAGCAGATCCGTTAATACTTAAGAGAGAAGATAATCACCACTACAAGCCATTTCACAAGTACTCACCAGGGACACAAACAGATCAGATCAGTTGTCTACAGGGATTACCAGACAGCTTAAATCAGAGTAAGAAAACAAAACAGAACTGTCTTACACTAACCAATACTCAAAATGAAATAACTTAATCAGAGTTAAGCTAAATACATACAAAAACCTACCATGGTGGAGAATTTCATTTAAGCTAGTATGTATGCTTCCCGACACAGAATGACGAGAGGACAACAGGACAGCAGCCCAAGGCCACCTTCAACAGACACTCCATGGTGCACCAAACCCTCGCCCCGAGGAACCCCGAGCCTCATCCACCAGGCCTGCCCAATTTGAGTTACGGGGGGCCTGTCTCACTCCAGGCACATCCTGTGAAGTTCTAAAATGCTACTTACCACACCACTATGTAACTATCAATCAAATGTACACTCCTGAATGGCATGACTGCATCTTAATCATCTTTGTCACTATGGCATTCAGCACAGTACTAGGTACCCAATAAAATTACCTCCTGGTTGAATGAAGAATAAATAAACGCTGCAGAGAAAGACAAAGTAAGAGAAGGACTGAGAAAAGAGCCCAGGCTCTGGTGATCAGGAGGTCACTGCTGATTTTTAGGAGAACAGTCCCAATGAGATTGGGACTGCAAGAGTGAAGGGACGACAGGACGTCAGAGGAATAACCTAGAGTGGCCAGTAAGAACTGGAGAGATGTCGCGGTGAGATAAGGACGGTTCTGCCACTACAGAGGGGTCAGCATGGCTGGAGGAGACTTCCACAGGAAAGGGAGGCTGAAGTCGCGTGTGCTGTAGGGCGAGGAGCACGGAAGGCGGCCAGACCGCAGTGTCAGCCACGGGGCAGAGGGGAGACAGTGGACAGTCAACAGCAGCGCTGGTGGAAGCACGGTCTTCTGAGACCGGGGAGGGATGCCAGGTCCTGGGGGGTTATGGACAGAACATGGAAATGAGAAATCAGAGCAGAGATCCTGAAACCATGAACATCAGAAGTGGTGCCTAGGTTGGTCAGCAGCTGGAACTGCCAGAGCAGAGAGCTAGGAATAGGCAGAGATGAAAGGAAGTCACCCTTGTCTCACAAACAGCCCTTTACGCCAGGCCTGAGGGCAGCTCCCCAGCACCTGGACCCCACTCCCCAGCAGCGCGCCCAGGCCAAAGGCACACCGGACACAGGCGACAGGCCCGGGGCCTGGATCGCGCTCCTCCCACGGACGACCACCCTAACACCTCAGCAGGCAACCCCTGAGAATGCTTCAGCGCATGTGCCACAATCCGGTACCCAAAGGACACGATCTACACGTGCGCACTCACACAAAACCATAAGGATGTCCTCACATGCCCCTAAGGAAATGAATGCCTGACCAGAACGGTGAAACAAGTGTTCCTCCCCTCTAATGTGTAACCAAACTGAAACTTCACAAATGAAAAGGACCCAAGGCTAACTAGGAGAAAGCAATGGCAGCCCACTCCAGTGCTCTTGCCTGGAAAATCCCATGGACGGAGGAGCCTGGTGGGCTGCAGTCCATGGGGTTGCTGAGAATCGGACACGACTGAGCGACTTCACTTTCACGTTTCACTTTCATGCATTGGAGAAGGGAATGGCAACCCACTCCAGTGTTCTTGCCTGGAGAATCCCAGGGACGGGGGAGCCTGGTGGGCTGCCGTCTATGGGGTCGCACAGAGTCGGACACGACTGAAATGGCTTAGCAGCAGCAGCAGCAAGACTAACTGAGATCAGATTACCAAGAAATATGGCATGTCTGCTACAGGCACCTGTGTTGTTTCAGAAGTACATTCTCAATGTCCTCAAGTAACAACCTAGTAACTCTTCCATCACCACTTGCCCCTTGCCCACAAAAACCCCTCACCAACAAGTTGACAATCATTATTTTAATTAGAGCAGTTTTTTCAAACTAGTTCCCCCAACAAATTCCACAGTTTTTCTCAGATCAGGGAACGTGGTGAGGTAGGAAAATGCATCTAATTCATTTTGAAATGGTGCAGTATTACTGAACAAAATGCAAAACTTCTGGAGAAGATGAAGAAACAAGAAGGGGTCATCAGTGGGAGGCCCTCCAAAGGTACCACCCTGCCAGATGTGCCCTGGCAGCTCCTGCCATCGTCCCCTCATTTCTAGGCCAGCACGCTCCAACAGCATGAGGGTTGGGAATGTGCCAGCTCCACTAAGAGCCACATGAACCCCACTCCCACCCTGACGGGTTCTCCCAGTTCAACATTATAAACTGCCTGTGAAGCAGTAGGAGCAGAGCCACCTCACAGCCATCAAAGGACAGGCACTGTGAAACGAGTTAGCACAATGTCCTCTAGATCAGAAAGATCAAGACCCCTGTCTAAGGCTTACAGTAAATGGCTAAACTGGGATTTTTAACACAGACCCAACTGAACTATCATTCAAAAACTCCTCCGATGAAAGTAACTTGAAAATATCCCTGCCCCCCGCCACCCATGTGTTGTGTGCACATGCCGTGCATGGGGTGGGTGGGGTGGGGAGGGGGCACAGGGTGCTAGGAATGAAAGACCCAGGTCAATCCAGGCTACAATTTTGACGGACACCTGCGCAAGAATTCTAGCACACTTGATAACCCCACTGTCCTCACTGGAGCAAGGACAGGACTACTTGGTTATCATTAAAGGGATAGCCTTAAAGGGAAAGGGTAGGGGGAAGAGACGTTGGTGAGAATGCTTTCCAATGTCTATGGAACATTTCCCGTAATGAACCCTTATCATGATATTTAATACTGCTGATCAGTGAGAAATAGTTACTTCTCACAGATTTACATTGCCCAATGCAATCTTTTAAATGTTACACAACGCACTGTGAACAGCTTGTTTAATGGGCAGAACTTCCAGCATGTTGTAGGGAAATCAGTTCTTCAATGTGGAGCTGAGAGTCTGGATTCTCCAAAATTACCTAAGTCTCCCAAGAAACAAATCTTAAATAAGCAATCAACAGCCTTCACAATATA